TGCTGCTGATGATGATGATGGCACTACTACTGCTATTACAGCTGCTCTGCAGCAGCTAACACTAGAGTGTGCTATTATACAACAATTAATGTAGGCGAAGAAGAAGAAGAAGAAGAAGAAGAAGAAGAAGAAGAAGAAGAAGAAGAAGAAGAAGAAGAAGAAGAAGAAGAAGAAGAAGAAGAAGAAGAAGAAGAAGAAGAAGGAGGAGAAGGAGAAGGAGAAGGAGAAGGAAAAGGAGAAGGAGGAGGTGAAGAAGAGAGAGAGCTTGTTGTAAAGGTGCGGGCCCATAATATGGCTGGAACTCTATTGATCTTTCATGTTCTTATGTCTCATCTAGATGCATACATTAATGACAAATCTAATCTAGTAAATCGAATCACACAAATGCTTTATATTATAAGTCACTTCATTGTTAACTATAACAACACTGATAACAGTTTACAATTCTGTCTAGTTCAAGAGAAAAAAACCCATACGGAACGGTCGGGGTGATGCACGGCGGGGAAGCATGTAGCCGGTTTTCGATGGCACGTGTCAACGCATGTCGCGACGGTCTGGTGAAACCGATGCGGCTATGTACATGGCCGGTTTGGCGATCCCATTTTTCCATCAGCTGCAGGTGTCCGTTTTGGGAAGTCTCAATTAAAACATATTTTTAGTTTTTTTTTCGAACCTAATATTTATTGGGGACACGTATTAGGCTATTTACTATTCATTAAGCAAATAAAAAGATTTTTGAAATTTTTGCATGTAGCCGGTTTGTGAATCCCATCGACGATATGTAAATGGGTCATTCAACGAAGAGCAAAACAGTTTTTTTTCTCTCCAAGAGTCGGGAAATGGTCACACGCAGTGTGTAGCGACGAAGTTAGAGCACTTAAGACATTGGCAGACCCGACTCTAGTCTATAACATTTTGGAACATTTTCAGTTTTCTGGGCAGCGCTTGGCCACTTGGTGCAGGTTGCCACTCTGCTGGTACTGGAGTTCAACCACGAATGTTGACAAGCTCTATCGAAAGAGAGAGAGCGAGAGAGAGAGAGAGAGAGAGAGAGAGAGAGAGAGAGAGAGAGAGAGAGAGAGAGAGAGGGGGGGGGGGAGGAAGGGGAGAGCGTATTACAGGGATGGAGATATGATTCTTTTCAGATTCACAAAAATCACACCATAATTGATCGTTCACTCTTTTTTTTCTCGTAATCCATATCTAATGACTATGATAGGCCATCCATCTCTCCACACTGTTCTGTGATTTCCAGTTCCTTCACACCTTATCTACCCAACCCCCAAATATATTTTCTTCCCTCTCTCTCTTCTTTGAAGCAGAGTGGGTGAAATTACGTTCCCGCCCACATCAGAAATGCACTTTTAGTTTACCAATCGATTGGGTATCTCCGGAGACAAGAAAGTAGTCGTCTCCGCCGGTATCTACCACTGACAGATGTCTTATATTACGTGCCCTCTTAAACTTTTTAACAGTTGCTCTCTGTAAGCCTGTGTTTGTTTGGAAGTGCGTATATCTATATTTGTGTATGCTAGTGTGTGACTGACAGAAAGCCATAGTGGTACCATTATGGAAAAAAGGGCAACAAACGCTACTGCCCAACATATAGAGGCATCTCATTGTTAAGCCACTCAGGAAAACTGTATGCAAAGTTACTGGAGCAGCGCATAAGACCTATTGTAGAGAGAAATCTGAGCAAAGCTCAGTTTGGATTCCGAAAGGGAAGAGGATGCACAGATGCCGTATTCGCATTACGACAGATATACGAGAAAACAATAGAACACAACAAATATTCCAACATCGTCTTTATAGACCAAGAGAAGGCTTTTGACAGAGTAAACCATGCAAAACTCTGGAAGACACTCGAAAAGTATGGCGTCAGAGGACAATTGTTAGATAATGTCAGAGCTCTATATACCAACAGCAGAAGCTCAGTAAGAACGAAGGAAGGAAATACAGACTGGTTCAAAGTAAGATCTCGAGTACGACAGGGATGCGTTCTATCTCCCCTCCTGTTTATAATATATATGGACACAATAACGCAAGAAGCAAACTAAAGCCCAGAAAGCCTAAATGAATTTCTGTTCCCAGACGACCAATGTCTTATTCATCATGACCAACAAAGCCTCCAAAATCACACTACCGAACTCAACAACACTTGTGAGAAGTTCAACATGAAAATAAGCACATCAAAAACAGAAGTTTTGAAAGTGAGCCGAAGCCATAGTCCCCTGAACATCCATGTCAACAGTAAACAACTGAAACAGGTGAAAGAGTTTAAATATCTTGGCAGCACTTTTTCTGAAAACGGGTCCATAGACAGAGAAATAGAAATGCGAACTCAAAAAGCCAACGCTGTCACCTACCAGCTCCCACCCCTTCTATCTCATCCAAACATCTCTATGGACACAAAGAGACAACTTATCACCTCAATATTCATACCAACATTATGTTATCAGTGCCAGACCTGGACCTTTAGCAATCACCGCTTGTGAAATGAAATGTCTCCGCAAAACCCTTAACATCACAAGACGAGACAGGCAGAGAAATGAAGAAGTAAGAGCAGCTATCGGCACTGAGTCCTGCCTGCGTTACATAGAAAGACAGAGGATAAAATGGTTTGGCCACCTGTTACTCATGTCAC